GGAGGTTTGGAAGGGGAAAACTACCGACGGCTGCTTTCTTAAAAAAAAACAAAAAACCCCCTAAACTCCGCAAAAACGCATCACCGCAACAAAACTAAAACCCCCTACACTGCACAAAAACCAAAAAAACCCTCCGGGGGCTGCGTACAACCAAGCTGGTGCAGGGTTCCATCCCCTAGGACACTGCAGTACCAATTTGCCATCGAAACGAATGAACGAATCGTAGAGGGATTGGTGGTTATATTCCACAGTGGCTTAATCGGAACCTTCGACTTGCTCATACAAATACATTTGCCCAATGTCCACCGCTCCTTCGATCTACATTTGCACAGATACGGCCGTTTTGTCTGAAAATGGCGAAAAATTAACTTTTTGGGCACAAGCTACCAAAAAAAAAAAATTGCATTTTCAGAAAACAGGGATTTTTTTTTAACCAAAAATAGCTTTTTGACCTAATTCTTATATCCCTCTTCCACTTGTCTTTTGCGCTTTTTCGTTTTCCCTTTAATCGTCGTTCTTTTATACCTTCCACACCTTTCTTGCTCCATCCTTTTCATTTTTATGCGTTTTGTGCTGTGTAACAGCAGTACAAAACGCGTATTATCACGGGGTTGTCTATGTGTGTGTGTGTGTGTGTGTGTATGTGTGTGTGTGTGCGTATGTGTGTATGTGTGTGTATGTGAATGTGTGTGTATGTGTGTTTGTGTATGTGCCCCACATTTTGTCCCGCACTTTCAACTCGGGAACCACAAAAGCTAGGCGGCAGAAATTTTAGTATAGTGTTCCCCGCCAGAGGGTGACGCGGCAAATTTAAATCCAGCCTTCCCGTACCCGAGGGTAACACGAACGGCCTCGTAAAAATTTTCTCAGGTAAAATTATTATCACGGGAATCACGTAAGCTAGAAGGCTGAAATTTTGTGGACATATTCCCCGCCCATGTGCTACCCAGAATGTTTAAATTCAGCTTTCTCCTGACCACGGGTAACAAGTACGGTCGCGTGAAAATTTTCGACGCTTAAATTATTATTTCGGGGACCACGGAGTTTAGGAAGTTGAAATTTTAGGGTAATGACTTCCTGCCCACGCTCAGCCTTGCCTGTTCAAATTCAGCGTTCCCGCGCTCTCGGATATCAGCTACGGGCTAGTGAAAGTTTTTGCGAGTAAATTATTATCTCGGGAACCACAAAGTCTAAAAGTTGAAATTTTAGGGTAACGACCCCCTGCCAACGCTCAGCCTTGCCTGTTCAAATTCAGCGTTCCTGCGCTCTTGGGTATCATCTATGGCCTCGTGAAAATTTTGGCGGGTAAACTACTAACTTGGGAATCACGGAAAGATATTTACCCTTCAAGGTTTCAAATTCAGCTTTCTTGCGCAGGCGCGTGATATTTTTTATTATTTGCATACACTTGAGTACAAAGCTGTGAAAATCATTAATAGGCAATCGTTCGATGGGCTGAATTGCACAAAACGCATGATCGTACCGGTTAGTCTGGTGCGCGTTGCTATTTATTTTTTTAAATTTATTTAACTCATATATTTACTTCATAATAGTAGTGCTTTAGTGCAAATAAGAACATTTCATAAAAACTATATTTTCAATAATAAACGTAAGCTTACAGACATATAATTAACGTATTGCATATTCGGACTTTACAGATCACCTAATAATTTAATACTGTAGGTTATTTTCATCGTCATTCATCAATACCTTTTCATGGAATCAACAAAGCTGACTTAGCTAAAAACTTGATTTTCCCAACATATTAATCAATAAAAAATGCATGCAACTTAATGGACCGAAACATTTCTTGCCATTAAAATAATTTTATTACTCTGCAAATTTTGTAATTCTCATCTCTTACCTTTCTTTTTGTTTATCTCTTCTCATCCGTTGTTGATACACCTTCCCATTTTTTTTGGTAAAAATTTGCAAAAAAATCCCTAACGGATTATAGGGTTCGAAGTGTTTCACAAATTTCACATCCATTATGACGAGCCTGATAATCAGTCGATTGTAGTTCCGGGATTTTGCTGAGATGAATGCGGAAGAGGGACCACTGAAGACCGATGATTTGCTTCACTTGAAAGAAGGTGAAGTATTCGTGGATTCGGAGAGTGGCAAGAAGTACCGCGTGCGAAAAAGCGCCTATTCACAGCAGTCCATCAGTGGACCGTATGGAGTTGGTATGTTTGTCATTTGGTTTGAAGAAAACCATTAATTTTGGTACAAATCGCTTGTTAGTGGAATGGGACGAAGGTTAAATGGCGCTGTTCTGCTGCTTGTAAGCATTGGCTGATTCAGGTGGAGGAGGGGAGGAGAGGGGTTCAGAAGGGGTGTCAGAGTTGAAGAAAACTCCAGCAACTTTAGCAAAACTGAAGAAAACGCTCTTCAACATCCCTCTGTCGATCCTCCAGGAGCCCCACTTTCTTCCCCCTCCTCCTCACCCCGCCCCCTCCCTGTCCCTCTTCC